CGCACTCATGTGGACGCAGCCACTGAGTGCATCTATATGTGCCCTTTACTGTGGAGCTGACTAATTAACTCTGCAATAAAGTGTCACTGTCTACACATGTGCCAGTATTAGGATGCAATAAATTAATTCCACCCTGAATGCCACGTGCCCTTGAAGGCTGGGGGGCATGGTGAGCTCCCACAAGTGGCAGTGGCACTGTCAGTGATGGGAGCATGTTGGCAGCAAGCAGTGAGCTCCTGTAGGTGGCTGCAGTGCTGTTAGCAGTGGGGGAGAAGAGGTGGTGAGCGGTGATTACCCACAGGCACCACTGGCAGTATCGACGGGGCCTTTTTGCAGGATTGCACGTGCACCCACGTGCACCCCCTACTCATCGCCAACGAATTCCATTGTAGGATAGTACTGTCAGAGACAGTGCTATCCTATGGTGGAGTAATTGCATGCACTAACATGCATGTGTAGATGGTGAAAGGGGCTGGCTAGAACATGAGGCTGCTAAGGTGTGGGGGTTGCCTGCCACCTGGCCCAGCACTTTAGCACTCTTGTGCCCCAGCCAGCCCCTCTGCTGCCTGATGTTGCCATCCAGAGCCCAGGGCTGACCTTTCCCAGGCCCTCTGCCAGCCTGGGGCTGCTCCACACCAGCTCCAACTGCTGCAGTCCTGGGTGCATGTGTAGATGCTAAACTGAGCCAGAATTTATCACATCACCTTAATAGTACATGTTGTTCACCCACTGAGATGTTTGCAATCCAGAATTTAGGTACTGAATGTGACTGCTGGAGCAGGGGCATTCAGGATGGCTTCCTGTGACCCATGGACCTAAAGTCTGCCTTAACCCCATTCCAGATAAAGTAAAAGTTGGATCATTCTTGCCAATGATTTTTCCTGAGAATTGTTTAGGACTTGCAGAGCAAAATGTGTGCATCAAAGGTGGCAAATCAGTACAGTTTCTGAGTGCAATGGTACAGCTCTTCATTAGTAACAAAATTTCCATTGATTTCAGTGGTGCAAGATCAGAGCTTATGTGCCTACCTTTGCAAAGACCTATGCAAATTAGCCACTGCTAACTAGTACTTTATATTCCTATGAATCAGTTTACCCACTGCTGTCTTTACTGCTTACTTTCTTTCTAGACGTTGAAAAAGTTCTCCCTGTGTTAATCTGAACTACAGCTCATGTCATCTATGCTGTCCCTAATTTTTAGCAAATCAATGTTTCTTCTAGGAATCTAGAAGTGTCAGTCCAGAATTTCCTGTGTAGATGAAACAGGGGCCCTGAACTGAAGCAGTGAGTTTAAAAAGACACCACTTCAAATTAGGGCTGATTAAACCCCTGTGTCGTGCACACCCCCCACTAACTTACCTGCCTCTCCGGTGGGGAGGGGAGGGTGAGCTGCCAGTGGGCAGAGTGGTCCCTGGGCCACTGTGGGGGGGAGGGGGAGGCTTCCACATGGCTTGGGATGGATTTAATGTGCTATACACCATTGTGGTGTGCAAACACCAACATTATTAAAACAGTGCAAAAGCATTTAGCCCACTTTAAAGTGTTGTGCGCACACACCTCTCATTTCATCTACACACAGCCTCTGTTGACTCATGCATATTACATACAAAATTGCTTGTCCACCTAGTTTTGTAACTCCACACCAATTTTATATTATTTTGATAAAGAAATACTTTTAGTTCTTCAGAATTTCAGTTTCTTCCCAGAAAAATTCACACTGGGAAGAAGTCTGAAAATTCTTCTCTTAATTTAAATGCAAGCATGCAGGTGAACAACTACACACATCTAGTCCTTGCTTGTGTAGCTACACAGATTAATTATTACAAAGAGTCGTAATCCTCCAGATAAAGTGTTTATTATTGTGTTAATCACATATGCTTCTTGAAAGCAGTGCGCGCATTGTAGGTAATCCACTTTCCATATTCTTTTGTGCTATACTGTGCCATCTGCAAAACAGTCCCATGATAGTAGAACAAAAATCAGGACTTTCCTTTTTAAATCATTAAGTTAATTATATTTATGTAAAATATGAGCTATGAGGTAAACTGATTTTTTTAGTAATTTTTAGTGCTTTCAAGTGTCCATTTCTCATAAGAACAGAGATTAGCACTTTTTTAATAATGTTCCAAGGAACAATTGTCCAAAAGGATTGTGTAATTGAAGTACACCTGCAAGAGAGTTGAATTACTAATTCATTGTGGTCTAATGTATAATTACTAATGGGAACTGAGTAAAAAACCCTAACTACTTTAAAAAGCTTGATTAATATAGAATAGGACTGGTCTAAGTGGTAGTCATGAACCACATGCAGAGTGGGGGAGGATAGGTTGCATGGGGCTAAACTGTGTTGGTGCTGCTCCAGAATACTGCTGCTCACTTCCCCCCACACCCCCAACCTCTTGCCCACCACCAACTCAGGGTCTTCATTTGCAGCTGGTGACTAGAATTGTGGGAGCCTTACAGCACCTCTCCCTTCCCTTCCACAGGGAAGATGATCTAAGGGTGGGGGGCAGGGCATGGCCAGGCCCTGGCAGGCCTCAGTAAGACTAAGGAGAGGTTTAAACCCCGACCTTGGCCTGCGGGGTTCCAAGGGTGAGGGAAGAGTGAGCATGGCCAGACTGCTGTAGCAGTGGAGGAGGAGGAGGGGAGAACTCTGCCACCACAGCAGATCCCTGACAGCTGGGAGCAATCCAGGCACACAGCCCTGCCCAACCCAAGAGGGGGACTCTTTCCCCTCCTCCCACCCTCATCCCCTTTGGCGCATGTGGGCAGTGGCTGGCCGGGCAGTGGCTTGCCCAAGCCAGCTCAGAGGTGATATAGGGATTCATGAGTCTGCATTGAGCCCCCACAGCAGATGGCTGCTGGGCTCCAGGCCCTTTGGCACCTCTGGCACCTCCAACCCAGCCAGGGTAGGCTGTTGCCTGGCCAGCCGCCACTGCGCATGCTGGGACAGGCTGCACAGCTGACAGGTCTCAGCCTCCCCATCACTGAGCTGAAGCCACCAGGAACAGCCTCACCCTCGCGGCCTGGCCTGGGCCAGCCCTGCCATGCAGCTGCCTCAGCCAGGGCTGAGCAGGGCTGACCTGGGCTGTGGGGACAGGACCATCCCTGATGGCTGCAGCTCAGTGACAGCCGCTCCCTGGACCCACGATGGGCCAGGCTGGGCAGCCATGCACAGAGCCCCTCCTCCCAGCCCAGTGGCAGTGGGGGGTGGGGAAGGAGAAGGATGGGGGAGAGTCCCCCTCCAGCACCAAACAGAGCCCCCCTCCAGAGGAGGAGGAGGAGGAAGGCAAAGACTTCACCTCAGCAGGAGAGGCATGGGCAATTAACCTTCTCACTGCCCCCTTAGCCTTAGCCGGTGGAACAGGGAATGGAGGGGGGAAATAAAACCATTAAGGTGAATGGGGTAGGGAGGGCATTAATTTCTCCCTCCATCCCTTCTGCCCCTGGAGACTGCAACTGGGGTCTTCTAGCCGCCCATCCCCTCTGCTGCTTGCAGGCAACAGGCAGATCACAGCTGCAGTGGTGGGGAGGGAAAGGAGGGAAGAATGAGCCCTCTCCCACTTTGCCTTAATGGGGCTATGCCTGCTGGTGTCTCTCCACATTCGTCCCCATCCGTACTTAGGTTAGAGAGCAGAGGTGCATGTCCAGCCCTGCTGCCTGGAGCAGAGAGCACAGCCCAGACCACCGAGTATGCTGGGATGCTGGAGGACTCTAGTTTAACTTGAACCAGGAAGGGGTCTGGGGCAGACTTTGCATAAACCAGTTTGACCCAAATTGGTTAAGCCTGATACTACATTCAGTCAGGTTTATCATAACTAGTTTCAGCCATTTTGAAACTGGTTTATGTGCGCTGAACTTATGTTCTATTACAGGTTTAATCAGTTTCTGATCAGTGAAACCAGTTTATGTGTAACTTCTGTCCCTAGTCACTGTCATCATAGTGAGCCCAAGAGCCCTGCCATGAATCATGCCTTCACCCTTTATAGTCACTCTAAGTACACCAAATCCCCAAAATGAGTCACTGTAACCACATTGGAGTGTTCCCTGTCTCAGGTGTGCTTATTAGCAGCCAGTGATGGCCATGTAAGGCAGCAATGTTGACTCATTTCTGCCATTTGAGAAATTGGGAGTGTAAGTGGAGGAGCAGTGTGGTCCTCAGAGGTGCTCCTGGCCTCAATACAAAGCTGTCATGAATAAATTTTAAGTTTTTCTATGTAGCCTGAAGGAAAGATTAATATAGAATTTTTTTTCTCTTATAACTGATGCCATTCTTTTCTTATGCCAGTGTTTTTATTATAAGTATTAAATTCTGTTATCAAACGTGGTGGACTATTGGGCTTATCCCTCAGCTCACCTGAATATTCCTATCTGGAATCAGTAGAACTAATGGGGGTGTGGGGGGCATCACATCTACTGGATATGTTTGAAACTAATGAATTAGTTCAGGGGGCAGCAACCAACAATCATTGGATCTGGTCTGCAGGTATGGGGCTTTGGCAGCAAGGGGCTTTGGCAGTGTTCTCTAGTAGGCGGTTTATTCCATGCCATGGCTGGAGAAATGGGGGTAACAGGGGAGCGCCCCACCATAATGTGGTGGCAGCAACTGGGTTCTAGCTCTTGCCTTCTCACCTCTGACCCACCAGGTGATTCTGAGCTGCAGCCTGAAAAGGTGACCAACTTTGTTCACAATGTCTTCAGAAGAATCACTACAAATGTCAGTGTTCTTGATTTTCAGTTTAGAAAAATGAACAAAAAGTAAAGGCCAAAAAAGATAGCTCTTAAACAAAAATGGTTCCCTTAAGTTCAGTGACTATTGAGCTTGGCTCCTTCAGGATTGCCCTTGGAAACTTGTATGTACAGCAAAAGAGAAATTGCTGCTGTGTACTGAATTATTATTTGTTAGCACCAAGTCACTTCCTAGCTGTCTAGTTTCACGTGGTTCACTGACGTGTTCATTTCCTCTGTATATGTGTGTGTTTGTGTTTTTTCTCTCCCCAGAGATTTGCCTTTTGACTAAGGGCCGCCGAACTGCCAGCGTACGAGCCGACACATACTGCCGTCTGTATTCCCTCTCTGTGGACAATTTCAATGAGGTTCTGGAGGAGTACCCCATGATGAGAAGGGCCTTTGAAACAGTGGCCATCGACAGGCTAGATAGGATAGGTATTATTGTCTTTGATACTCAATATGATTATTAAACTTAACTTTTTTTGGAGCAGAAGGATAAGATTGCATTACTGCTCCTCTACATTAAATGTTTTGTTGACTTATAAATACGAAATGCTTTAAGAAAAGAATTTTTATTAGGGCTGCTTTTAAATAATAAAAAGACATTACTATGCCTCTTAGAAAGCGGTCACATACTCCTCTGAGATTTATTTTGTACACCTTAATTATAATTATTATTATTTATTTATAATGTTTAGTGCTGTAATATACACAGCTCAGAGCTATATACTTTAGTGACAAATAGATGACGTTTCCCTGTCCAAAAGTCATAGACAAAGACCTGGTTCTGGAAGAAGCTGACTTTTTTCAACACCAACAGAAGCCAACAGGAATTGAAGCTACTCCATGGTTAGTAGAAGGCCATTCCCTCTGTCACAAGATGGGCAGTACAGCCTGATTTTCAAAGGTGTGGACACCTGCCACTTAGGTCGCTAAGACATGCTGGCACTCAGAAAATCAGGTTCAACAAGCCCAAATAGAATGCAATATGATGTAGTAGACTGTCTTAGCTGCTTTAGTTTGCTTTAAATCTTAAGCAAATTAGAGAAATGTGGATAGATAATTAGCTCAATAGCTGCAAACATTATAAATGGGATACTGTCAGAATGGCAGAAATTTTCTAATGGGGTTCTACAGAGGTTGGGCCTGGAACTACTAGAAAAAATAAGACAGACTTTACACCTAGTAGGGTGCTGCCATTGGACTTAAACACTTAAACTAAACCAAAGTGGGGTTGGTTTTAGCAGTGTGTTACAAGTGGAGATATGGGGAATTGAAGCACTTATTATTATTTATTATAGTAATTCATTAATAGAGTTTCCAGTCTGAAATCATTTAGGGAATCCAAACATGACAAAAAAAGAAGAACCAATTCCTTTACCCAAAATAAGAACAATTCCATTGGACTCGTTGCCCTACATCTTCACTTCCAACACAGGAAAAAAACATGTTGCCTGCATCTTTACAGCTGAAAGTCTTTAGGCAAACCTTGAAATTGTTGCGAGAACAGAGATAAAATGTACAGTGGTCATTATTGTACAGCCAGGTAGTACATGAGCAGTGAGTTTATATATTTGTTCACAGACATTTAAACAGATGACTTTTCTCAACATGGTGGTCATTGCTTACAGATGCCTAATAAGTATTTCAGAAAATGTGCTAAATAACATATGTATTCATAACTTAATAATGGTTCAACATTCAGGAAATTAGGACAGCTTGATAACAAGAGAGATCTATATTTTAAACTTGCAGTCTTGTTTTTTCTATGTCTGTTGCTTAGTAAATTGTGATAGTTATATTTTTCTGAATGATTTTAATAATAGCCAAGCTGCTGCAGAAAGCTCAGGTATCCTTGAGTGCAAGAATGTTTCTAAGGTGGGCAGCTCAGCTAGAAAGGCAACAGGATTTATGGGTTGCATGAGCAGTATGAGATCTACTGAAGAAATACCACCCCCAAAGCAGCTGTACTGCTTTACAGCTAGGGAAAAAGTATGTTGTCATCCCTCACAGCCTTTAACAATCACTAGTTCAAGGCAGAGCCTAAAACTTCTGCTATGCTGGAAGACAAATGAGGGACTTTGTCTTTTACCACTATTTTAAGACACCAGCATGTACTTTAATATCAGGAGTTACAACTCTAAAAGAGTGACAAACTGTCACTGAGCTTCAGACTTGGTAACACAGCTGATCTCATACCTCTTTCTTTTTAAAGGGAAGAAGAATTCAATTCTTCTGCAAAAGTTCCAGAAAGACCTCAATACTGGAGTTTTCAACAATCAGGAGAATGAGATCTTGAAGCAGATAGTGAAACATGACAGAGAGACAGTTCAGGCTATTGCCCCAGTTAGCCTACAGCAAATGTCAGCACTGAATTCTAGCACTACTTCATCCCGCATCAGGACACAGTCACCTCCTGTTTATACTGCGACCAGCCTGTCTCATGGAAACCTGCATTCTCCAACACCAGGCACACAGACACCTCAGCAAGCTGTCATTCTCTCTCCTTGCTCCTACACTACTGCAATCTGTAGTCCACCAGTACAGAGCCCTCTGGCAGGTCGAACTTTTCAGTATGTATCACCAACTGCTTCACAGTTGTCATTAATGCAGCAGCAACAGCAGCAGCAACAACAGCAGCAGCAGCAGCAGCAGCAGAAGCAGCAGAAGACACCTACTTCATCACAGAAAAATGAAGTTCACAAGAGTACACAAGCTCTTCACAACACTAACCTGACAAGAGAGGTGAGACCTCTCTCTGCCTCACAGCCTTCTTTGCCCCATGAGATTTCTACTCTTATCGCCAGACCTCATCCAACAGTTGGAGAGTCGCTAGCCTCCATTCCACAACCTGTCTCAAGTGTCCAAGGGTCAGGTATGCAGGCTGGGAACAGGGGCACTGTCCCACAGAGAGTTGCTCTCTTCAGACAAATGTCTTCAGGAGCAATTCCTCCTAACCGAGGGGCCACGGCACCATCAGCAGTTCTAAAAAGGGATTCTTCCACAGTCTTAAGCACAGACCTTGAAGGAGACAAACCACGATTTGCTTCAAACTTATGATCCCTGCTAACTCTGAAAAGCAGAGACATTGTAATAAACTGAGAATCATCCCAGGAATATTTTAGCCTATTTCCTAATAGACCCTGGTAGTCTGTTATGAAAACAAACAAACAAAACTTTAGCTAGTTTTGCCCTACATAACGAATGTAAAATATGTGTGTGTATACATATACACATATATCTAAAAAAAGGAGTTTAAAAACCTGTTTAGAGTTCATGTCTTCCTTTCTTATAATCAGCAAAGGAGTCTAAATTTTGTTGTAATATTATTTATTTTTAATCTGTGTTGACGTTAATGGATTTCTCTATTTATGAAGAGGTCTTCTATTTTAATGGGGGGGTGGAAAATCTTAACCCAATGATAACTTCATGAAATGAAAATATTATTTATTCCAGGAACTAAACTTAACAGAACAGAAAGAAAACCCTAAACCTAACTAGGAAATAGCAAGTATTCAATAATATTTTTAACTTTCACTAATATCATTTCTGTATACAAATTGTGAATTATTTATTACAGAGAATCCAGTCATAGTCTCCCATTGCTTTTTCCATTTTGGTGCTTTTCATTCAGAACTAGATTGACTAACAGATATACTGCAACCATCTACAGTCAGAGGACAAGATTACCACTGCTCTGGATAATTCTAACCTCAAAACATATAAATCATTCTGTTGTTTCAGAAAACTGGGAGGACATCAATCTTCATATTGCAAAAGACTTTTATGAAGACTATAAATATTGTCATTGTAAATAACTTTTTAGACCCAAACACAAATAGCTGCTGTGTGGTGTACCATTGCAAATTCTTTGTTTAGGAATTTAGGTTCAGCTCTTCACTTCAAAAATTAAAGTTTTAAAATTTATTCAATCTAAGTGCAACACAACTGTTAAATTGTAATGCAGTGGCTTAAAACCTACAATGTTACTTTTACATGCAACATTTTTATGCAAAATTGTACGCTTGATCCTGCAAACTGCTTGTATTTCACCAATCACTTTTCTTCTTCCTTTCCCTAAACAGTGTCTGAAAATATCCCATGCATGCTTTTTTAAAAAACAAGAGCAACAATAAATAGGTTCAGTCAGCCATTGTAGGGAAAGGCTTTAGGGTATCTTAGAAAATAATAAACATTCATTAATTGTGGCTACCTTAAAATTCCTATAATGCTGACTTTGAATCATTGAGATTTGAGTCTAGAAGTGAGTTTTTTCATTTAAAGAATTATTTGTAAACCACAGCTTGATTTAGAATTTCAGGTGCTTTCTGTGTCCTCACTGTAGTTTTGTAGCTGACTGTGGTGTTAATTTAAACAAAATAAATATAATATAGCATCAAGTCTGTCTGGGAATGCACGATTTGCTCTGTGTATATTGTAATAAAATGGATAGTTTATCCTAAGGCATGTAGCATCAAACATAGCCCATAGATATGAGGTTTATTTTTTTTAATGTCTTCAAAACAGAAAGGAAATGGTGACAGAAAGCAGGGTTAAAGCATACTGTTTTGTGAACATTTTACTTTGTTTGCTCAGATCTTACATTACCTTGTAATTATTTAGCTTCTCCACAAAGGAAGTCCATTAGTTATCATTTGTGCCTGATGTGTCACATTAAATAGAGATTGAAACTGAACATGTCATAACTCAACTATTATTGATAAAACAGCATTATGCACTTGCATACCAAGCATATATTATATTCTCTAAAACAATATACTAGCCATGCTAAGGAAATGCTTTCAAAGGCATTCTTCTTTTCCCATTGATGCTGGCTTTATGTTGTATGGGAAAAAATAAGTAACATCATCAACTACCCAAAGCAGTGCGTCCAGATATACTCGAGAGCCAAGTAAATTTCTAAAGCTAACGCAGCTTGAACCCATGCTGCCTGTTATGCCTTTTACTCAAATGGTACATCAAATACAAACAAATGATCATTTTACAACTTATGTCAGTTCCCAGTCACTAACACAGATCAGTGTAATTATCCCATTATCGTGTTGCTGACATCATTAAACCAAATGGCCAAGAATAGTGTATAAGGAAGAGATTTCTAAAAATGATTGAAACATTATGGATACGCTGCAAGACCATTTATTTATCGATAAAATGGCTCTTATTTTATTTTAATATTACTCATAATTCCTGTCCAATTTATTATGATACTATTCTGATCCTTGAAATTGTTTAAGGTTTACATTTGATAGGAGTAATGGGGTTGGTAGTGAAATATTTTTATATATATTCTTATTTTATTTTAAGCACTATGAAGAAACATTAACTCACATGGTCTTTCAGTGAAACCATAAAAATACTTTTTAATGACTTTGTAATAGAGTGGACAATATCTAGGATTTGTATGTTCAAATTCAATAAAAATGGTACAGGGTATAAATTATATACATATATATATGTATGTATGAATGTATATATACTTAGGTTAAGAAATAAATTACACACATTCCTGTAATATAAAGGTCCATTGCTAGTTCCAGAATTGACCTATTTTCTCTGTACATAAGTAAGCCCATACCTATGGAATCTCACATCTGTACAGAATGAAATGTGTTAATGAAAAAGTTGGATCTTACTGCTGCTGGGAAGACACTAGATTAACTGATTCTTACAATAACTGTATGATCAGGGATGAGTTAGAATTTTTCTTTTGTCTTTGCTCAAAGCCATAAATATATATAAAAGGTTATTAATAAATTGAACAAAATATGAAAATAAAACCATGTATATTTTATTGGATCTAAAATGTCTATCAACAAGCATGTTTTGTTTTACAATGAAATACAAGCTGGATGTCTTACATTTTCATCATTTTAGTCATTGATTTAACATGCAGTAGATATTAGAAAAATGTGAATAATTCATGACACACAATAACTCCAGAAAGGAAAGGAGCTTCTCATATAGTGTGAACATTCTCTAGATGTGCACCAGATATTTACTATGAAACTACAGAGCAATCTTTACTCAGAAATTTCACTGCTGCTATAGCTTTTAAACTAATGAGCCATAAACTTTAATATACCTCAGTTCTTGAAATACACAATTGGAAACTGATATTCCCTTATTGATAAAAGCTGGCAAATTCGGGCATTCAGACCAAAAATATATATATTTTTGACAAATTGCATTTCATCATATTTTTCACTTTTATCATATTATCACACTATGTCTTGCTAAGTCCTTTTTGATGTACATTCAACTGTCATATAATTTTTTATACTTATTTCAAATGAGTATATTTTAATTTAACTGATTGGAACCTAGAGGCTTGTTCCATTTCAGTTGGTAGTATTATCCCACTGATTTGAAAGAAGCAGTATGCTAACTGACACTAAATAATTCTAGCCCTGGTAAACTGTAATTTTAGAGATGAATGAGTACTTGCAAATTATGCCCTAAAGTAAATGATGATTCTGTATTTCACAGAACACATTTTCATTCGTTGATATTTCAATGATTTTGTATTTCACATTCCTAAGGAAAATTCTGGTTATGCTACAGTCACTGGAAAAAATTATTGATTGGAGTGAAGTCCAGGGAATCACCTATAATCTATTAACTGTCTGGCAATATCTGTCCTGCTTTATACCTTGTTCAGAACCATTGGCCATTCACAGGTATATAAAACAGGACGTACTTTGCCCCTTTGTTTACAGTCTTATTTCATGGAATGTGAGTTCTGAAGGGTATTTCAGGACCTAACGAAGCACAGGGATTTTAACGACGTTTCCATTAATCAGTTCATGTATAGAAAGGCTTCCCTAACCTTGGGATCTTAGTCTCTCTCTGGTGTATTTACAGACCTTAAAGAACGTTAGGAGAAAGAAATACCAAAGGAGAGCATAAGGTCAGGTTCTCATCTACTACAAGAGGATGGAGTGTTCAAGGCAACTGGAAATGATAGAAAGCATTACTCAAAAATGTCACTTTGTGAGAGCAAGAAATCCAAGGTTATTTCTGAACTATTGAATGAATTGACAAATTGTATTATGTACCTTCAACCAAAGGAGCTATAACCACATCTGTGAAGTCTTCAAAATGCTTTCCTCTGCCCATCCCAGTATCACCCCTGTCTTTCTTCATTTAGTTTCATCCATGATCTGATCTTACTTTTCAAAAACTGAGCTATCATTGCAGTAAGGATGTAACAGTTTATGGTAAAAAGAAAAAAAAAAATGGTGTTCCAAGAAAGGACAAAAGTATACTGACTTGTATAACAGGACTCTAACTTGCAAATCAAGAGGAGTGATTTTTCCACTGTACTCAGCAATAATGAGGCCTCACTTGGACTGCTGTGTCCAGTTTTGAGCTCCATACCTTAAGAAAAATGTAGACAAGTTTTTAAAGAGTCCATTGAAAAGTAATAAAATTATTGGAAGCCTAGGAGGCTTCTAATAGGAAGGCTGAAATGCTTCTAATCAGAAAAGACTGAAAAGCTAAGGCTATTTAGTCTGGATCAGGGAAAGCTGAGTGGTGATTTGCTGATGGTCTTCAAATACCTAAGGGGTGATTATAGAAAGAATGGAGATGGGACTTTCTCTGTGGCTGTAGGAGATGAGGCTAGGTTTAATGGCTTCAAGTTGCAGGAGAGGAAATTTAGGTTGGAGATTAGGAAGATGTTTTTGACTATGAGGGTGGTTAAGCATTTGAACAAGCTACCTCGAGAAGTTGTGGAATCTCTATCCCTGTAAGTTTGCAAGAGGAGGTTGGACAGACATTTGGTTGGGATGGTTTAGTCAGGGATGATTCTGTCTTGAGCAGGGAGCTCGACTAGGTGACTTTGTGAGGCCCCAACCTATGATTTTATGATCACAATCCTATGTTCCTGTGAAGGCCAGGTAATGCTGTCTTTGATTGATATACTGCTGGGACTATAGCCTATGCCGTCTGATCGGTTCAGCTCATGGCTGCACCTAAATTTCAGAAAGGAACAGAGATATTGTTGGGTCTTGGGAACTCTTACTAGTGGTAGATATGCAATTTGCCATCACTACATTTTTAGTGCCTCTCCCTACTCTGGGAAGGAGCCAAATTATTTGAATGTATTAGCTTAAACTCTACCTATTTCCTCCCTCACATGAGACATCAGCATGTTATGTTTCAATATTGTCAGGTGCTCTAGTAAGATCCAGGAAAATAAGAACTAATGACTAACCATTGATAGGAGTTCATCTATCAGTGTTCTTACACAGTTTCAGTTCTGTGTCCTGGACCTTATCCACATTGTGCTAGGTCTACAATTATCGACTGATTTCTTTATGAGCCTTAGTTGGCTAGAACTGACCATGTGTTAAAGTAGGAGGGAAATATTCCTTCATTACATTCAAAAGTGGCACCAGCTTCTGTACTGGTTGAGGCTGTAATGCAACCTCAGAAATAGGCTTTGAGGAATCTGGGGAATTTTGTAATGTTTTATCATGCCTTTGTTTTCTATCACTGTCATTCAAACTTATGTTTTGGGACTTCTGCATCTGTAGACATGTTGATATGTGTGTTGAAATCCCCCAGAATAAGTTAACCACATATCAAAAGTTCCTTTATGAATTTTGCAAGCTGTAGTGGCTTATAACTCGATATAAAATATTGTTTCCTGTTGAGATTATGACATGTTTTGAAAGAGCTTTTCTTTTCCAGATGATCTAATTTACTGCTCCTACAGTTTATTTTTCTCTTATTTCTTTATTTTCATGTAATCTGAATCACATGTTGCCTGGTGAGAATGAAGCCAAAGAATCCTTATATCAATGATGGCAGATAAAAAATCATGACAGTGTCCACTGATCCATTAACCAGAATTATTTTTCAGCAGGAAAGTATTTTTTCTTCAGGGACCTTGGCACCCAGAGAACATAAACAAAACAGGTTATTGCCTTTGATAGCTAAATATACCACAACCACAAATCCTGAGAAGTAAAGGTTGAGGGCATTTCCAAGGCACAGTATGAAAAAGGATGTATGTAATTTATACAGGGTCATTTATTTATACAGTCTT